TATAAATTGATAGGATAATGTTGTCCTTGTCCTTTGCTTTGTTAATGTGAGGAATTACACTAATTGTTTTTCTTATGTTGGACCATCCTTGCATACCTGTTATGAATCCCAGTTGGTTATGATAAATTTTTTTTGGTATCTTTGGATTCTATTGGCCAGAATTTTATTCAGGATATTTGCATCTATGTTCATGAAAGAGATTGTTCTATAGTTTTCTACTTTGGTGGTGTCTTTATCTGACTTTGGTGTCAAGAATATGTTTTCTTCATAGTATGAGTCTGGGAGAATTCCATCTCATTCTATTTTCTGAAATAGTTTGTGTAGAATTGGTGACAGCTCTTTTCTGAATGTTTGATAAAATTCACTTGCAAAACCATCTAGTCCAGGGCTTTTTTTGCCTGGATGTTGTTTTATTACCTTTTTTAAGTTTTTGTTTTGTAATGGATCTGTTCAGGTGTTCTATTTCAGTCTGTCAGTTTGGGTAGCTTGTGAGTTTCCAAGTATTTGTTCATTTCCTCTAAGTTTTCATAATTGACTATAGCTTTTCATAATATTTCATTGTTAACCTTTTTGTTTTAGTTGGTTCTGTTGTGACTTTGCCCATTTTATATCTTATTGGATTATTTGTGTCTTTTCCCCCCCTCTTTCAGTTTTGCAAGTAATTTGTTGATTTTTTTTTTTTTACCTTTTTGAAGAACCAACTCCTGGTTTTGTTGATGTTTCAATTGTTTTTTATTTTCTATTTCATTTATTTCTACCCTAATTTATATAATTTCCTTTTTTTTAGAGGGTATCAAGTTTCCTTGCTGTTCTTTTTCAATTTGTTTGACATGTTGGGTTAGAGAGTCAGTCAGTTATTTTTTCTTGCCTTTTCATGTGTTTGCTTATTGCTATAAATGGACCTCTGATTATTGCTTTGGCTATTTCCCAGAGGTTTTTGTAAGTTGTGTTTTCATTGTCATTTGTTTGAAGAAACTTTTCAATTTCTTTTTTTATTTCCTCTGTTATCCACTCATGTTCAAGCAAGGTGTTGTTCAGCTTCCAAATGTATGGGGTTTTTTCTCCTTTATTTTCTTGTTATTAAGTTCTAATTTTTTAGCATTGTGGTCTGAGAAGGTGCTTTGTATTATTTCTATGATTTTGAATTTATTGATGCTTGCCTTGTGACCTAAAATGTGATCTATTCTGGAGAATGTCCTATGCACACAGGAGGAGAAGATATAGTGTGGGTTTTTTTGGGTGCATTCATCTATGAGATTGAGTTGATTTATTGCTTGGTTTAATTCTTCAGCTTCTTCGATGAATTTCTTACTGGTAGTTCTGTGTTTTCTTGAGAGTGATGTATTGAAGTCTCCAACTACTATAGTAATGCTATTTCCTTTTTCAGTTTTGTTAATGTTTTGTATATTTTTAGCTCTATCATTTGGTGCATAGATTTGTATTATTTTTACATCCTTTTGTTATATTGACCCTTTAAGAATTATGTAGTGACCTTCCTTGTCCTTTGTGATGGTTTTTGAATTGAAATCTATTTTATCAGAGATTAATATCACTATTCCTGCGTTTTTCTGTTTGCCATTTGCTTGATATATTTTCCACCCTTTTATTTAAATCTTTCTTTATCTTCACTTTTAGCAGATGCATCTCTTGTGAAATTTGGGTTTTTATACAATCTGCTACTCTTTTTCTCTTCAGTGGTGTGTTTAAACCATTCACATCCAGTGTGATTATTGAGAGGCATGGTTTTATTGCTATCATTTTGTTGAATTCTTTTTGGTTTTATTGCTGGTTACTTTGGTCCATTTGCTTGCTTTGGCATCTCTGTAAGGAGGACGTCTCTCCGCATTTCCCGTATTGCTGGTCTTGTTTTTACAAACTCTCTTAGGTTCTACTTTTCTGAGAATATCTTGATCTCTCCTTCATATTTGATGGTTAGTTTTGCTAGTTAATAGTGTTCTTGGTTGACATTTGTGTTCTTCGAGTTTTCCATATATGTCATTCCACTGTCTTCTTGCTCGCATGGTTTCTGCTAAAAATCAACAATCATATTTGCTCTCTCTTATAGGTTACTCTTTGTTTCTCACTGCTTTCAGAATTCTCTCCTTATCATTGGTTCTGGAAAATTTGACTATGATATGTCTTGGTGTTTTTCTTTTGGGGTCTATTTTATATGGTGTTCGCTCAGTTTCTTGAATATATATTCTCTTATTCTTCATTATGCCTGGAAAGTTTTCTTCTAGTAATTCTTTCTCAATTTTTTCGTTGCCTTTACATGCTTCTTCCTGTTCTGGGTTTTTGTTTATGTGCATGGTATACCTCTTGATAGTGTCTCACATTATTCTTGGGCTTTCTTCATTTTCCTTCCTTTTTGATTCTGCTTTTTCTTCTACCAGATCAGTGGTGACAGTTCTACCTCCTGTTTCACTGGTTCTGTGTTCCATCTCTTCAACTCTGTTCATATGTCCCTCCATCATGTTGATAGCATCTAAAACATTGGTCCTCATATTTTAGATTGTGGTTCTTGTTTTTCCAGAGCCTCTAATGCCTCATTTGTTTTATCTGTATTGTTAATTTAAGTTCTTCTTGGATTTTGCTTGCAGTGTCCTGTAATTCTTCAAATTTGTCTTTTACCCATTGAAAATATTCAGTCATTGTTCTTTTAAATTTTGTGTCAGAAAAATCACATCAGACTTTCTGGCTTCAGGAAATTCATTGGTACTGTGTCACTTTTTGTGGGTGACATGTTGCTTTGGGTTTTGAAAGGTGGTAGGTAGGCCGCTTCCTACATGGCAATGCTGTGGTAGAGTTTTTCATGCCTGGGACGATAGCAGACTCTTTGTCTGGCATCACTCCTCCAGAGGAGGTTGAGGCAGCTACCCTGCCTGCATTTCTCTCTGAACTTTTGACTCAAAGGAAGACTAGCTACAGTTCGGGAGAGATGAGGCTTATGAATTAGCAGCCTTCTTTGTTATACAACTGCTATAGCGAGGCCAACCCAACTTGCTCTGGGTTAAAGGCAGCTCACGCTTTGAGAGAGGAGAGGAAATTAAATTAGTTCACCTGTGATGTTGATGTCTCTGGCACAATTCAGTGGGGTGGCAACAGGTCATCCCCCAGGCATTGAGGCAGGGGCCAGGTCCTCCAGATGGTGGGGTCAGGTCCTCCCGGTGGCTGGGGTGAGACTTCCAGGTGGTGCGGGCAGGACTTTCAGGTGACAGGCAGTGTACAGGCAGTGTAAATGGGATTTACAGGCAAAGGCCAGGCTTCCAGATGGCAGGTGAGAACATCCAGGTAAGGTCCTTCAGGCTTCGAGTTTAGGGATCCAGGCCACAGGGACAGGGGGCCTCCAGTCAAAGGGGGAGGGCCTCACCAGGCAGCAGTGCTGTGGTCCAGTGCTCTAGGCAAGAGACCAGTCTAGAACATACCAAGAAAATTTTAAGGCAGGTACCTAGTTAATTGGATACTCAGTGTAGAAGTATCGCACATACCAGTGATGCATGTAGAAGCCGAAGGAGTTGTAATGATAACCCAACAGCATGCAATTGGAATCAACCAGTTGCTCAGAAGGGGAAAGATAGGCAGTCTCCTCCTGTGTAATTTACTGCCTCTAAAAACTCACTGGAGGGTGAGTCGATTCCAACTCAACTATACATAACAACAGTGTGTTTTAAAGCAATATTAGCAATTGTTCATGTTCTAAATGTTACCAAATATTTCTTTTTCAAGTACTAGAAATAAAATATAAGAAGTTTTCAGATCATTTGAATTATTTCTGTGGTCTTTGTATCTGAGATGTTAATGATTGAGTCTGACTTTTGAAGCCATAAGAGCCAGTTGGTTAAAGAATGAAAAATAGAGGATGCAAGTAAATTGGGATTATGGCAACGTGCATGAAATGTGTAGAACAGTCTGATACTTGAGAGTCAAAACCTTGCAGGAAACTTAATGTCATAATCCAAAGAGGATAGTGGATGATATCACAGCCAGGTAAGTAATTGGAAGTGTCCAAATTTTATAAAAGTAATAGATTTAAGTAAAGTAAAAAGACATTATATGAAAGTATTTCTTTATTCATAATGATTTTGTGTCTACATGTAAAGAAGGCATTGGAATGTTTTATATAGATTTAATAATTTTTCAAAAGGACAGGCTTATAGCCACAGAAATATCTTTTCTAACCCTTTGAATGAAGGGAACCATTTTATTTTGGGACTTTAATGATACAAGAAATAATTCAGTAAAAAAAAAAAAAGAAAGAATTCAGTAGTGTGCTATATGCAAGTCATTTGAACGGGTGTTTCTTACAATACCAAGATACAGGCCCCACCCTCTAGGAGTTTGCAGTCTACTAACTAAGGATATATGACATTTTGTACTCTACAAAGCATTGTCATATGTCAGTTCATATAACGAAGTCCTGAAAGGTGGTATGACTCCTGATTCCAGTTACAGAGAGAAATTTATTACATCGTTTTGTCCAATATCGTACCACAAATGAATAGGTGAACTAGAATTTGAATCCAAGTCTTCTTACTCTAAAGGTGTGTACAACTTTACCGGCTCACAGCTTTTCTATATGCTCACTAGGAGATATCACACTATTACAATGACTAAGCGAGTGCTTTTTTAAAAAAATATATTCATTTACTTATTCCTATGGAATAGCAGCTCTATTAAATAGGTACTTTCATTCTACTAACACAGTGATTCAGTAAGTTGTTCAGTAAGTAGATTTTATGTAAACATCTGCTTTGTGAAATCACTGAAGTGATTTTCTGGTAGTTTGATAGTAATGATGATGAATATAAGATGATTAGTGTAGAATCCTCAAGGAGGAAAGATAATTGAGTTGTATTTCCTTGTATATCTCATGAGAAGTTATATCTATTAAGTGACAGGTTTAATCTAGTAAGTTGTTGGACATGAGACTATGTACCAAAAAGACCAGTGTTTTGTTCATTTTTATGCCATCATTGATGACTGTTCTTTTATTTCAATAGTGGAGGGTGAACTGTATACATTTGGAGAACCTGATTGTGGGAAGTTAGGTCTTCCCAGTGGGCAGCTGACCAATCATCGAATGCCTCAGCTAGTACCTGGAATTTCCGAGAAGGTGATCCAAGTGTCTTGTGGTGGAGGGCACACTGTGGTCCTCACAGGTATGTGTGGAGTCTTCCGTCCGTCCTGCTTTCTGTGGTGGCTAAACGAACAGCACTTCTCCTCTGTGCTAATCTTGCTGCTTTGTCTGTTAAGGTCCACAGCTTTTTTCCCTACAGTATTATACAAATATGACCAATAGGAAAAAAATTAGTAGAGAAAAAAATGAATCCAGTTGAAAAGTTTCCTCTAACATAATTGGCATTTTCATGTCTGTAACATTTTTTTTTCAGTTAATATACTTTATTGCAGTTAGCACACAGTTTAAAAATTCACCAACACACCAATAGTACAAAACTAAACAGCATTGTAAGTTATTCCTCCCTCAGGAAAATAAAACATACTATGATTGTCAAAGCTAGATGTCAGTCTAAGTTTTTAGAACAAAGGAAGAATGTGAAACTAATAAAGAGGAAAAAGCAATCACTCACAATGACATGAAAAGAAAAATCCAAAAGAAAGTCTGTTTTCTCACATTGATTGACTTCTCTAAATGAATAAAAATTATCTTAACATAATCTGTATTTTTAAAAAAAACAAAACTAGAAACTCTTCAAGTAACTAAAGATGATAATGCTCCAAGGCCATTTTCACAGCTTTTTGTTTGTTTGTTTGCTTTAAATGCCATTACAGCCAAATTAACACACATTTGACCAAATATTTCCAAAACAGTGCAGCAACACACAATGGAGTTTTCCATTCAGTATCTTAAGCACAAAAATAGGCTATGTTTACAATAGTTAAGGCAATCAAATTTTAAACAAAAGCAATTTAAAAAAAAAAAAGAAAAACAGCAAACATTTACTAACATTTTTAATGGGAGCAAAATAACAGTTTTTAGCCCAATTTCTAGGATAAAAATGTTTTCCTCATGTATCTATGTATATATAAACAAATTTGTCTTGGAAAAAATGCAACCAGGGTGCTTCTTAGAGGCAAGGATGGTAAAACTTTGGGCATTGTGCTAAAAGTGGTCACTTCTTGGAAAAAGACAGCATTCTTGGAAAAGTGGAGGTTAGGAGAAAGAGAGCAAGGCCCTGAACAAGATGAATTGACCATAATAATGAATTTGAGCATATCCAATATAATGAAGATGGTACAGGACGGCAAAGTTCAGATCTGTTGTTCTTAGGATCGCTGTTAGTCATAGGTGACTCGATGACACCTAACAACAACAACAATAACATTTTATATTAATCTGAAACTTATACTATTTTTCTTGGAAACCTTTCTCTTGGAACTCCTTTTTTATACTGCTTTCTACGTTTTCTTGATTGTACTTATTTTTGATATTTGAATCCATATTTGGAAACTTATTTGCAGTTTTTATGTTGTCATAATAATTCATTAAAATGTAGTAAAGTTTTAAATTATAGGTAATAAAAGAAAGACCTTTTATAATAATCATGTTTTTGGCTTCTGAATTTCATATTTGCTAGGATGGAATTCTATTTATTTATTAACGTATTCTTAAATCCAAACACAAACCCACTACTGTCCTATTGGATGTGCAAGGCTGTAAATCTTTACAAGAGGAGATTACTTCATTTTTCTCTCACGGAATGGCTGGTAGATTTGAACTGCCAACCTTTGGTTAACCCAGTACATAATGTACTATGTGACACCTGATAATGTGCATATAAATTGTTTCTTCCAAGTTGGTTGAACATTAGACTTTGTTTCAGTATGTAGTGTAGATGTGACACATAGCAGTTATCAAAACACAAGAAAGATTGTATAGCTTGAATCATATTGTTGTTATTATATACCATCCAGTCAGAGTCAACCTATAGTTGACCCTCCAGCAGGTTTTCAGAGGTAGTAAACTGCACAGGAGTTGAATGCTTATCTTTCTCTCAAGGAGCTGAACCTCACACCTTCAGGCTGACAGTGTAGCTCTTTACCACTAGGCTATATTAGAAACGTTTTTAATTGTGAAGTTCATTTTCAGATGATTAGATGATTAGGAATGGCAATGTTACTATTGTTAGTTGTTGTAAAGTTAATTCCAATTCATGGCAACTGTATGTGTTAAACACAAAACTGCTGCTCACTAGGCTTTTTCTTGGCTGTCATCACAATGAAGGATGACACTTGAAGAAAAACAGAACATAATTCTTGGGTTATAATTGGGCCAACTTATGACCTCTACAGGGCAATGAATAAAATCAGTCTGTCTTGTGAAATTAAAGTGATACTGATCTGAAGCCAACTAAAAAAGTCTGGTGGTAACAGTGTTCAACTGCTAGCCAAAAGGTTGGAGGTTCCAACCTACCAAAGTCTGTAGGAGAATAGATTGGTGATATCCCATAAAGATTACAACCTACAAAAGCCACTAGGGAAGTTTTACATTGTCACATGACATCTTTTCTGAGTTGAAAATCAAAACTCAAGGGCACCAAACAACAACAGCAATGTAGTATTAACACTGGCAAAAAAGATAATGTGTTCTTAGATAAGCAATGCAGTCTTATGTCATTAAGGGGAAAAAACACAACCAAGTACTATTATAGGTCCCTAGGTGGTGCAAACAGATTGCTAAACTAAAAGGTAGCAGGTTTACTCTCTCTCGGTGGTACCATATGAAACCTAGTGACCTGCTTCTGTTAAGATCTGTCAAGAAAATGCCTATCACACAATGGAATACTATGCAGCACACAGGAGTCATGATTTTGTAAATTTCTACCTAACAGGGGAGGGACTGGAGAACTGTATACTAAGTGAACAAACCCAGTCTCATAAAGACAAATCAGTATTGTAGAATGAGCATGAGAATCCAAGGAGTTCTTAATCATAGGGTCACACAATTGATGGGTGGAAGAAGAAGCGGGTAAAGGAAAGGGGGAAAGATCCAGTGTAAAAAACAATGTATACGGTTTTTATGAACTTTGTATGTAAACCAGTATAAAATAAGTGTTGTTTTTTTAAAAAAGAAAACACCTATCAAGCAGTTTCATTCCATAACACATGGGGTCGCCATTGCCATGAATCTGAATTCATTTGATGGCCATTAACAACTATTAACATTGCCATGAACCTGAGAAATAAAGCTTTTGTAATATGATTCAAGCTGCCTGAAGTCCATGGATTTGGGGGGACTAATTTTTAGCTTGCCAAAATGAAGGTAATTGCTTCACTTTACCTGATGTTTTGCTTCTGGTTAAAATGCAATACTGGAGATGTAGAGTGTGATTATGAAGGAAACTCTGCTGGTGTAATCTGTAGAAAGTTTACGCTGCTAATCCAAAGGTGGCATCTCTTTGGTAATTCAAATCCACCACGGGAAAAAGAAAAATGACAATATCCGCCATAAGATTGAAAGCCTCAGAATGCTCAGTGGAGGGTCAGCTATGTATGTGTTGGTTCTAGGTCAATGGTAATAAGTTATTTTAAGTTTATGAATTAAACTAGGAGATAGCATAGAGAAGTGTACTTGGGGTGGGGGTTGGGGGGGAAGGGACGTGGGAATTGTATACTAATGAAGGAATTTTTTTTTCTTTTTCTCTTCGGAGGGGGAAGCGAGCTGGTGGGAAGGGGTGGGCAGGGAGAAAAGTGTGGCAATGAATGAATGGAAATCCAAAACCTCTGTAAATGTCTATTAAAATTAATAATAATAATAATAATAAAGGATCTGTTTTATTGTTGCTTCAGTGTAGCTTCTTATCCTTGACACAGAATATTTTCCTTGAGTAGTATTTATTAGGAAACATTTTTTCCAAACAGAAAAAAAATCAGGTAAATAGGTAATATCATCTAAATGACAATGAATAGTTATATCTTCGTCAATACCCCCTATTGTTAGAATAAGATGAGTTGATCAGGTAAATGACTTTCTGGAAAACTATCGTTACAATGTAATATTTTAGAAACAGTGTGTTTTTTCACCCTACAGTAATTCAAAGAGATAGGTATTATTACATCAGAGAATGTAAGTAACTTAGCTACTAGCCACAGAAGGGTTCTGGCCTGAATTCAAGACACTTTCTCTTCTGCTTGTAGCAAGAGAGAATGAGTACATTGAACTAAGGAACAGTAAACAAAGCCAAGACTCCCTTGGCATTGAGTGGATTCTGACTTATAGAGACTTTCTTTATAGGGTATAGTAGACCTATCGATTTATCTATTTAGTTTCCAAGGTAGGTTTGCTGTGAATGGTAACAAGATGATGGCACAAGTTGTTTGGTTAATTAGAATGTTTATGGGAGCAGACTACCACATCTTTATCCTGCAGAAAAGCTAGAGGGTTTAAACCACTGACTGTTCTTTATTGTTGCAGTTTATTGTTATGTGCCATCTAGTTGGAACCAACTCATAGCTTGCCCTCTAGCGTGTTTTTAGAGGCTATAAATCACATCTTTCTTAAATTGCCCATCTTTCTCTTTTAGAGCACCTGGTGAATTTGAACCACATGCCTTTGGGTTGGCAGCAACTCCTTATCCACTAGGCCACCAGAGCTCACATCTCAGAGATGAGGGGGAAAGTGCAGGATAGGGCAAGATTCAGATCTGTTGTTCACAGGATTCTTATAAAGTGTAGTCAACTTGATGGCACCTAACAACAACAGTGTGAAAGCCAGGGAATTCTGGCGGCCTGGTCTGTAGGAAGTTACACTACTAACCAGCTGCTGCTTGGGGAAAAGATGGGTAATCTCCCCCTCTGTGAGTCCACAGCCTTAGAAACCTGCCAGAGCTGTGAGTTGGTTTCAACTTGATGGCAGTGAATTAAGTTGTTGAATGTCATGGTGGGAGTTGTGTGAATAAGGTCCTGTTCATTACCACTAATTTATCCTTTCCCATCTCAAATGAAAACACGTGAACTAATATGTATAAACTTGTTGGTGGGCCTTTTAAGTCACTTTAAAAATATTAATGCTGCAGTTTGAATAAAGGGAGATTTACTGTGACTAAGTCTGGAATTTATACTCTGTGCTTTAAATCACAGGTAAATTCTCATCTAAAATTGAGGGTTTTTAAAATATATTTGTCTTTTAAACTACTTTCAAAACTAAGGTCTTTTTTTTTCTTTCTGTAGATGACTTTTTTCGTTACTCATAGTGAAATGGAAGTGACAGTGGATGTCTTTTAAAGAAGGGATAATTACAGGGATATTTAGGTAGTTCTCTCACTTCGGTACTGTGCTTTTGATCTATTGCTGACTGAGCAGTTTGCTTACTTACAGCCAGTGCTTTTACGGTGATGTGTAAAAGATAAATCAGACCCAGACCATGATTTTTGCAAATATATACCATTTCTGTTTTCTCTTAGTCATTGGAAATTTTACACTTAAGTTTTAGGTGTGCTTGTATAGGTATTTCTTTCAGAAGCAGTTAACATTCATTGTAAAATATTGATACCATGGTGACATGATACTTTTCTTGTATCTGCTCTTCTTCTTTTCAGAGAAAGCAGTTTATACCTTTGGGCTGGGACAGTTTGGACAGTTGGGTCTTGGAACTTTTATTTTTGAAACATCAAACCCTACAGTCCTTGAGTCTGTGAAGGACCTGAAAGTATGTCGTATTGCATGTGGAGAAAATCACACAGCTTTGATAACAGGTATGTATCAGAATCTGTTATATTTTATAGTAGAATTATTATATTTTGTTACAAAAATAAATAATGTAGAGAATAAATGGATCCCCTTTATCAGGAGAATTAATAAAGCAGTAAAAAAGGGATACTTTCATGGGGTCACAGAGTTTGGTAAGTAGAATGAGAGGGTGGAAAAATTAGGAAAGATCCATCTGAAAAGATGGAGTAATAGTGGCCATAGAGTAATGGTGATTATTATTTTTGAAAGTTTACATAGAAAATTTATTTTTCATTGATTTTTATTCAGCCATTCATACGCATTTTGTACTGTAA